CTTGAAAACTATTAATCAACAAAATCTTATTAATAACAATAATCTTTGTGATGCGTTTACTTCAACTTAAATTGCTTTGAAGTTTAACTGCTGTCAGCATTCCAATTGCTGATCTATCTTCGTGAAATTGTTTGCTCGTCATAAAGAACATCAAATACGATTAATATACAAGGCCCCAGGAATTTGATAAGCACTACTAAAGCAAAGTACGATTTTACTCTAATTTAGCAAAATGTGTGTTAGATTTCATATCAAAAGTGCATATATGTATATTTAAAAATTCCGTTTCAATTGCTTTCATCGCCGATGTTGCAATCAAAGATAATACAAAATATACGACAAACAGAGGCTTTATATGTAATTACGATTCCAAGATATACTTGTATCGTTATTGTATGTATATATGTGTGTATCTGCATACTTCTGTATAATAATAATAAACATCAACATGGGATTTTATAAGCCACACTGCATTCGTATCGTATTTACATTGTGTGAGAATGACTGATTATACATAATATTACAATTATATACTTCAGCTTTGTATTACAAACAACAAGTACGGAAGCTGTCATTACACAAGACATGAAATTTGAAAATTATGAGGTTTAAATGCACACACATCAAACTCATTATTCATATGAGTGACATCCAAACACATGGGAGTGCAGTCGCACTGCATAACTGCAGATACATTTTCGTTCGAAACGTGTGTGGATGTGCGAGCCTGACTATGCCCATGTGGCATATCAGAATGACATTGGTCACAGCGTCTCTATTAGGATTACGAGTGCGAGTACTCCATTGCAGCATGTATTGGGCAGTTGTCTGCAGAGTGGTTTTTTATCCATGTTGCAGTCACAACGGTTGCATGAAATCTGACAGGCAACATGTAGACGTGTAGTTAGAGTTTTTATTCCAGCTCATCATACTCCCTCTTCTGATCTTTGAACGTTATTTTCACGCTTTTCATACCTTTTTTTATAGTGTTCAAGCACGTGTACTACAGGCGCAGTAAGCGGTGAGCACAAGCAAACCCATGAAGTGTGTTCTACATATACAATTTTCACCCTTCATACGAATATACATGGTATATACATACATATGTATATATATATATTTTTTTTTTATTTATTTATTGTTTTTATTGTTGTCGAGTGCCAGTAATAATTTTTTTATAAGCAAACATGGCCCACTTAACTGTCAGAATAAATGCTGAACTAAATATAATCACGGTTGGTACCAGAAGAAATTGGTTCAGAAAAAAAATTTTTTTTTCTTGATTGGATTTACAGTTTTTAAATTACATGGAATTATTAAAATTGCTCATACATCAGTAATCTTAAAATCTCATGGATTTAATAACTTACGTGTGATATTTCTTGAAAAAAAACTATAAAATATTTCAAAAAACAATTTTTAATTTATTGAAACCTTATATATATGCGATATATTTTATGTATGAGACCAACACCCATAATATTGATTACAGATTCTCTTATGCTGGACATCAGTTAATAAGTAATTTTACCAATTTATTGACATTCTATAGTTCAGTTATCTTTGTATATATAATGCTTACTTTTTATCCCAAAAAAAAGAAGAATTACCAAAGAATTACTTATCTTAACATTGTGAACTCTTATAAAATACATAACTTGACTCAAGCAAAAGACTTCCAAAGAAATTGAAATATAGAACGATTGGCTCATTGACTCATCTACCATATAATCCTAATTCGGCATCCTATGAATTTTTCTTATTATCGCACGTTGTATATGAGCTGCGATGGGATGAATTTTCGTCGCTAAAAGAAACCCTTAATGCCATCAAAAATCATATCTCGAGATGTCTTAAGCGGAATTGAAAAAATAATATCACAAACGATTTGAATGCACGCAAAAGTTCATAGATCGTAGATGAGAATATCTTAAAAAGCAATAAAATTTTTTTGAAATTTAATTTGCATTTTTTTAATTAACGGATTCACAATATATATAGTAACTCTTGTAAAATGTAAACTTTAATATGTTTAGTCATTGTCAAAAAAGAAAATTTTAGGAATATTGATGACTTTATTGAACCATACTAAGTGCAACAACATGTAAAATAAATATACATAACTCTAATAAGTAAAATTATCATTAATCAAAATATATGCAACAAAATAATTTTTCTAGTAAAACTCCCTCTATTTCTCTTCCTATTCAAAATCGATTTCCAAGTTCATATATATTTACAGAGCAATTCTGGCAACGATCTTTCAGCTCAACACACTCAAAAATCTTGCAAAAGATCGTTTGAAAGGTCTTTCCTATTCTAGCAGCGATCTATTGCTAGACTGAAAGCTATTTACCGTCTTTCTAAAGACCAAATGAAAGATCTGCTGTTAATTAGATTTTTAGATTGTCAGCTAAGATTTTGTTCACGTTTTTCCTGCACAAACTTTTTTCATATCAAATAAAATACATTAAAATTAAAATAAAAATTTATGACAAATTAACTAATTAAAATTTGTTAAAATTAAATAATTATTTTTAACTTTATTTCTAATACGACGTAAACGTATATGTATTGATATACTATACTGCTTTATAAAAATTTTAAAATATGTATTTCATATATTTAATACATACATAATTATATATATTTCATACATAATACATATATATTATTTTTTATATATTTAAATTTTAATATTTATTTAACATTGATTTATTTATTTATTTATATTTATATTTTTTTACCACTGCTGTAGATAATGCAGCAATTTCTGCTACCATTTCTTTTATGACATGAGTTAAACTTAGTAAATACTTATTTCTATATAAATAATAATAATAATTAAATATATATCTTACAGCTCTCCATCACATTTGTATTAAAATCCAATTTATTTACTTTTACTTGCATATGATAGCGATTAGCTACTGTGATCTTACGATGAATTTCAGAATAAAACAGCTTTACCGCAAATAGAAAATGATTTTCAAAGACCCAACCAGCTTAACTGTAAAGCTATGCTTCTCTGCTATAAGCAACTAATTCACTCACTTACTCCTTCCCCATTTGGTCTGCAATCTTTTCCGCCTAAATGGAAAGAATCCGCTTATTTGAGCTGAAACTTCTTTCAGATTGCACCAACTACAAGTGTAACCCTGACGTTAATCACTTCCCCTTCTCTGTCTTTTATGACAATACCAATATCACTCGTGTTGACCAGTACCTTTTGTCACTCACCCGTTGGCAACTTACCCAGCTGCACGACCTCCCCATTCAGAATGACCTCATTCAAGCCTTGCGCTTCAAATTTCCTTAATACCTGTTCCATTACTTTGATGAGTGACACCGTAATTTCTACGTCATTCCCCTGTACAACCGCGATTTTCATGATCATAGTCACAGACCTTATCACTAGTCTTACTTCTGCGCTCGCGCTATAACCCCATCCCCCTTCACTATAACCTGAACTCCCTATTTACGCCCATGTTTTCTGGCTTAGATAAACCTAACTCACTAGGTATTAAGCCTATTTGCTCTCATCTCTCTCACCTAATTACTGGAATGAAGTTTCCACAGTTTTGTGGAAATTTTCTCCATTCATTCTTTAGAGTTTGAGTGCGTTCAAGTCTCACACCGTGGCTTTTGATACTTTCCATAAAAAAAAATACAAATGATAAAACTTTATTTAAAAGACTTTTATGCCGGAATATGTTAGCTAAACTCTTACCAACAATCTTACGGTTGATCTTATAAAGATCTTACACAATACTTTTAATGGTTTTTGCCAGAATTGCTCTGTTAATCTTTTTCGTAATTTTCGTAAATGTATAATTGTATACATAAATAAATATATATATAAATATATAATAAATATATAATATATATTAGGAGGACTTTCGAATAGCAAAGAAAGAAAGAAAGGACAAATACAAAAACTTATTTAATTTTATTGAAATTTGGCTGACCATACAAGGCTATTTTGAGTATTACCAAGTACTCATCATCAGAGGTCTTAGGAAATGATCGAAAATAAGGAAATAATTTGTTAGAACTGGAAGTGCCAGGTTTAGAACTCGTGCCTGTCAAATTAGAAGCGATGACTAATCGTGTTTATCCACAAGTAGCCAAGACTGCATAAATTTTCAGTGGTCTAGTGCTATATAATATAGGTATATAAATATATAACTAAAGTTTTTTTCATGTAAAGTTCGGAATTTCTTATAATTTGGATTCAGTTTTTTTATCGCTTATAGATATTTTTTAATTTTAGATTTTTTTATTATTCTTTAATAACAAATAAGAGTATTAATTATATTTATCACAATTAATATTACCTATTTATTAAATAATATTAGGAAAAAGAATGCAGCTGGCAAAAATTTATTCGAATTGGTTAATAGTATGTAAGGCATAAATTTATTTATGTGAATTAATCAACATGTTCTTTCTATAAAGTTCTGGACTATCATCCATTACCGAAAATTAAATGTAACTACTATATATCTAATTGCATATTAAACACATTTAATAACAAACTTTCATGCTTAATTTCAAATAGAATCCTTATTCAAAACACTGAACTGTTAATAAATTGGCTTGTGGCCTCGAAACCAACCACATTCATAGCAAACGACACATTATTAATCCATACAAAGTCAGTGCTAGGCTGTACTCGAATAAATTCCTATATCAGACCATTCGGTAAGCCCAACTACAACAATGCAGCCAACAAAAGCAGTAATCAAGTAACCATCAAGTTATTATTACTGATATCCTGCAACACAATAAGTATCACAGTAACATCTGCAAACAACAGTCGCATAAAGCACTATTGCTGTGAGGTATTTGCATGGATCATCTGCTCATATATGTGTACATTGATACAAATTTCCATCGGAAACTTTTCCATCACACGCACACCCAGGAACATGTGAATATGAATTTTATAGGGCCCTTAATATCCCATATCCACTAGAAAATCATACAAAAGAGCTTACCGACAACTTTGACGAAGCCGTATTGTGTCTTTGCAGTGACGGTGTTTATCTGACACATATAGCGTCCTTTGTCTTCCTCCTGTACGTTATTGATGTGAAGAAACCATGTGCGATGTTTGTCGTGCTTATCATGTGTCACACTAATGCGTGGATTACGCGTTATCACATGGTTGTGTACGGTTAAAATTGCGGATTGTTCGAAATGCATCCACGCAACCTACAAAGATAAATCAAGCAAAATATTAATACACCTTTGAGATATTTTAAATTGCTAAGTTGATGAAGTATGAGAGTGATGAGATGACTGAGAGTGCAAGTGCGAGTATTTGACTATGGCAATAAATTCGTATTATATATGAGAGTATAATGTGTTGTTTTGTGCAAAATAATATCAACTACGTAATAAATTTTTAAATTAAAATAGAAGTCCAATTAATAGTTTTATGTCCCATCACATAAAACACATTTCAAATAGATAAGGAAGTCTTATCTTTGGATTTCTGATATGGTTAAATATCCACTATCGGTGGTTTTGAAAACATCTATTGGTTTAATTGTGCGTATATAACTTTTAATCTGCAATTATCAGAAATTGAACCCTATCAACTCTGAAGGTGACGTGCACTCAAATTTTAAATTTTCTCATATTCTGAAAATTAATGCATAAACGACAGTTATGTATGGTATATTAACTTAACAATTTTAAAGTGTTGTTGTTTTTTAAATCACAATATTATTGTGTGTAGAAAACACATCTGAATATTTGAATTTAATTATTTAAACACAAATTTAAATGTAAAAATCACGAAAATTGCACTGAGATAAGTCATTAACAAAAAATTTGGAGTGATGAACTACAATAAAAAGATATGCTGCAGCTTTATTTCTAGATATACTGCAGTCATAAAATATTAAGTGCTCTTAATAGTTTTGTTGGTGTATTGTGCTATAGTGTTTTATAAATGCATTCCAACATAACAAATTGTTAACAACTAATATTATTAATATTATTAAATATATTTAGAAGGGATTCACGATTTGTGCACCACGATAATGCTGTGTCTCTCACACTGTATTCATGGTTTGAGATTATCCTTTACCAAAAATATAATTTATATTTTTATATAATCTTTGCATAAACTTTACAATTTAGTAGCCATGAGACTTCTGGTTATTTTTTAAGCTCAAGAGATCATTGCTGCGGGAACATCTTATTAACACAATTGAAGAGTTTTGAACGACTTTCTGATAATTGACTATAATAATATAATTTTCCAAGTTTAAAAAGAGTATTGTATCGGGTGTGGAGAATTTTAAGGGCGATAAAATATCTTTAAGAAAATAAATGAAAGTGTTAATTTTATAGCTGGATAATTTTTCTGACATTAATTTAACAATTAGCATTGTAACGACGAAGCCCTGATCCACACTAAATATACCTATTCGACTGCAAATGGAAAAACAAGTCATTACTTGATTATGTTTTGGGCGCCACTGAAAAAGTATGGCTTAATCATGCCACCAATTTATGTTCCAAAATGCAACAAATTAAACTGAAACATTACGTGGAAGAAAAATATCGGAAAATATTATCTCATCTTTTGACAAATTCATGATACGAAAAAAAAGATATGTTCAGGCATGAAACACAGCCACACGAAGGTTAGACTCGCATTTATCATTCCTGTTTTGACCAACAATCGAAACGGTATTGGTAAGTAGGAAAAGTAAAAGGTAGAAAATCATGCATGTAATATACATAATATAATACATAATATATTATGTATTTTTTTTTATGTTGAAGCTATTTGAGTCAGTGCATCAAGCACTTTTACTCCTCCTTAATCCGAGGTATTTTCAAAACCCCCCCTTTACGTCTTGATTGGATTATTGCTTATCTCTTCACCAGACTAAGCAATAATTTATTTTCATAATATATAATGATATACTATATACATATAAATCACACATACAATAATTTTAAAAAAATGTCAAATATTACTATAGTAGGATTATGTAGATAATGTTATAAATCAATTAAATATATGACATACAGCGGTCAAAAAAAGTATTCGTCATTAAGATGTGAGATGTTGTAATAACAACAAAACGAAACAAAAAAATCAAAAAAAATAATGCAGTTTTCTACGTTTGTATTCTGTTTATTAATTTTAATTAATAATTTTAAAAAATTTAAAAAAAAAATAACGAAAAAGGCAATTCTACTGATCTTTTCCTAAATTTATATCCCATTTCTTTGTTTCTTATGAAGAAAGCAGCGTTCGGCTCCTTATTATAAAGTGATTTGTGCAGTGAAATCTTAATATTTCCAAAATGGATCTTAAAGGAAGAGAAGTTTCTGATGAAGTTAAACAACTTGTAATTAAACATTATAGAAATGGCTTAAGCGAAAAAAAATTAGTGAAGTAGTAAATAGATCAAGAACTTCCACTTCTTATATTATAAAAAAATGGAAAAAATCAAACAATCAAAGATCCGGTCCACCTAAAGCACTTCCCAAAGCGGATGACCCAAGTTTAGTATGCCAAGTTCAAAAAAATCCCTAAACTCATACGGCAATTCTCTTTTATAACATTCAGAAATATTTGGGAAAAGGGGTCACATCACAAACTATTCGAAATTCGATTCAAATTTTTGGTTCTAGAGGAAGAACTGCACGAAAGAAACCATGTTTAAACAAAATTAATAGAATCAAAAGGCTATAATTTGCAAAGGCTTATGTACCATAAAAGAGCCAGAATTGTTTTGGGGTACTGTAGTTTTCACTTTTGAGAGTAAATTCAATCTTCTTAGATGCGATGGCAAGGTAATTGTGTGTAGAAAGCAAAATACGGAGCTGTAAAAACACAATACAGTTGCTTCTGTTAAACATGGTTGTGGCGGTGTTATGATTTGGGAATGTATGGCGGCATCTGGTGTGGGAAATATCGAAGTAATAAATGGGATCCTGGATCAAAAATTATGTATCTATATATTAAAGAAGAACTTGAAGCACTGTGCATTGAGAATGATTTTCAGTTCTATCAGGATAATGATACAAAGCATTTTGCGTTAAAAACCAAGCTTTAGTTATGACATAACTGCCGAAAGTGATAAAAACAACTCCGTAAAGTTCAGACTTAAACCCCCTAGAACATATGAAAGTTTGTGAATCCTTGGCTACTTGTGGATAAACACGATTAGTCATCACTTTTAATTTGAGAGGCACGAGTTCTAAGCCTGGCACTTACAGTTCTAACAAATTATATACGGACTATAAACTAATTAAAAATTCGATTATTTCCTAAGACCACTGATGATGAGTACTTGGCAATACTCAAAACAGCGTTGTACGGTCACCCAAATTTTATTAAATTAAAAAAAAATTTTTGTGTTTGTCTTTTCTTTCTTTGCTATTCGAAAACCTTCTGAATGAATTAATTAATTATATTTATATATTTAATTGCTAAATTTCAATACTATTCTTTTGTAGAGGCAGTATTTATTGAATGATTTCATATTATTCTTTCTTATATGGTACATAGAACCTAACCTAGGAACGTAATAGGGAGAATTGCCTTTATTTACAAATATGTATTTGTATGTCTAATACTTTTCTTGCCCTAATTTCACTCATTATTGAAGAAAAAAAACATATAAAATTCATGTCAATTTCATATCAGAATTGAAGAATCAGGAAGATCAAGAAGAAGAGAAGTCTAATTACTATTTTGACATCACAAATTCATTCAATAAAATGACTAAAATGAATTTGTGCTTCAGTGAGTTTTACAAAGTTTTTGCAGTTGCCACGCATTTTTGTTCCCAACCAGACCAACCAGACCAGTCAACCAATCCAACCACATCAGACGCCTCCGAGCCTCAGAACAGTAAACTCATATTAATAATGATAATCAAAAAGTGAATTTGGTAAAAAGTTTAAGCATGAAATGTCACTAAATGACAAATATTCGAATCAATTCAAAGTATGTTTTAGCAATTTTGTCATTTTTCTGCCATTTTTTCTTCTGGGCGAAATTCCCCTTTTTTGGGGGAAAACTAACAAAAACGTGCCATTCGTGCCGAAGTTGGCAACGAAAAAAGTTTGTGTAGGATGAAAAAGTCATCAATTATTATGCGAGATTATCGAAGGAAATATGAGAAATTGTTAAAGTTTGCATTAAACATACAAATTCGCACTATTCCCACCCTTTTCCTACACATTCACTTTGTAGAGTTTTAGATATTTGCATAGAATAGTAGGAAATGAATGCTTCCCATGGAAGGACAACACCATTTTTGCACGTAAAATGTTACAAGAGAGTAACATTACGCTTTGGATTCCATGCAAAAAGGGACAGACGGAATATACGATGTAATATGTTTTTTAATTTTGAAAGATAATTTAAAATATTCTCATATTCACTTTCGATTTAGAAACTTGCATGTCAGTGTCAAAAATGTTTACGCAACGTTTTCCACATTTGTACCGAAACTTAATATTATTATGTCCCACACCACATTGAAAAGAGATACATGAAGCACTGAAATTTTCAGTCCTCGACTTAATCGATGAATAGGTATGACATTTATTTTATATTTTATAAATTCTTTTCGGTAGGAGAGATACTCTTCTCCTAAATTAATTTAAAATTCATTTGCTATTTTCTGTTTTTATTCTATATTATTTTCCAATCAAGTTGAGGTGATCACATTACGTCAGACTCTGGAGGTTACGTAGCATTGGTACAGCCTATCAATGGTTTATATTTTGTTATATCACAATACTACCTCTGCACACATCAACTAATGCTATCATTGTCTTTATTAAGGAGTCTCCTCACTCTAACTCATGTGACCCAATATCATAATTTTTCGGTACAGCATTGTTAATATTATGAATACTTTTGATATAACTCTGCTCACTCTGCACTTTTGCTGGAATTTTATGGACCGACAAATGAATGTATTAAACGAAATTTATTCATTACGTGATGTGGCTTTTGCTTTAGTATTCATCTACTGAAATATTACAGAAAATCAATTACACTTCTTAAATTACAATCAATTTAAGATTCTGGATTTTTAGATATTGCAAACAAACGGCATTGAAAATATTCAGCTACTTCTGTTACCAATTTATACCATTCTCGATATAATCATTTGCTAATGAGTTACTTTCAGTTATTATTTAAATAATAGGCTATTAAAGCACCCCGACCTAAAAGATCTATTGTGTGCCTAAAGGCCCAACTATGACAATTTTAGACTATTTATAAATCTTGTAATTGCTGTGGGCTTAATTTCACCTATTTGATTTGGAACTAAGATCTCGCTTCCAAGGTAAACGAGTCTACGTCTTGCTATCGCTGGGCAGTTGCATAGAACATGTTCTGATGTTTTCTTCTCCTCATGACAGAGTTGACAGGAGTCACTTTCTAGCACACCTATAATCATCATATAGTAATCAAGTCTACAGTGTCCTGTAAGTACTTACAGTTATTCTGTGATCTAATGTTTCACCAGGGGCTAAGATATCACATTGATATCACCTTATCTTCTATTGCTATGAAAACATATTCAGCTTTTCTTCACCTAATAATTCAGCTAATATGAAATCGCTATGAGATCCAGATTCTATATGATACACACGATCATGATCATGATCTGGTTATTCTTCGATCATATACATTTGGTATTCATTTTCCTTATTGTTTGTGCTGCTTCACAATTTTCTGAGATCAACTATACCTATGTGTAAGAACTATTCATTAACCGCTCTAAAAAGCTTTTCCATCCATTATTCTCTGCCATAGAAGTTTTGACAAGTTAAATTATTTATTCAATAATTTAACTTGTATTATTTATTTAATGTTTTTAATTTATATATAACTATTTTATGCCCAAAATTATAAGTATTGTGTTATACTGGGCTAATTGATCAATAACGTTCATTTTTTCTTAAAAATACAAATTAAACAAAAATAATTTAAATTCTATCACAAAAAGTTGTGATAAAATGAAAGTCAAAAAACTAAATTAAATAGAAATTAGTGTGCAATACTTTAAGTTGTTTTTGTTTAATTCTTCCTTTTAACAAAATCTGAAAGCAATTGATCAATTAGCCTAATATAAGAATATACCATATTTTAGATAATCCACCAGAACAACTGGAGGTTTCATATGCAGGATATGATTTATGAAGAGAACCAGCTCTACGTTCTACGTTTTCGAATAAAAGCTACTTCCTTTTATCTTCATTCCTTTTTTTTACAATTTAAAAAAGTTCTCTGTAAGACATGTGCCCAATATCACTTCTGTTCCCATTAACTATCCCATAATTGCTATACTATATTGTGTCTAATCAGGTTAACTAATAAGGCTAGTTAAAGAGCCAAACCTTTTGCCGATATAACACTTGAAGTTGTAATAATTCCTCTTACTTTAGCCATATCTTAGAAAAATGTATCCAAAGGAGTATATTTAGCAACTTCGGTTGATATGTGGTCTGGATTTGTGTACTGAGTGGTATTACGAAATCAATTTTCTTTTTTTATAATTTAATAAAAATTCGTTCCATTCTATTTCACGTTTTCAACCATATTTACCAATCACAGTTGCTCTTATCATTAATTGTATAAAATCTATTAATTTAATCTGAATTATTTATCCTTTATTTAAATGTGATTAAAAGAAATCTTATTAAAACCTTAATGCAACGTCTGAAACAAAATTCAAAAAAGTATTTAGTCGAATAACATAAATAAAATTTCCAAGCATTATTCCTTCAAAAAAAAAACAGACATTTTATCATTGGAAAGAATGCTTTTAATATCAATTAAAAATATAAAGAAAATATTGAAGAAATCCAATTATTGTTCAATCAATCAATATTAAAGAGAACAGATTCAGTTATAAATTAACTTGTACGGTTTGGCCATTCGGACTCGTAAAGGCGAGCCAGGGAGTTAGAGTGAATCCACACAATTACCAAGCGATCAGAATTGAATGAAGGGTAATATCCACAATATTTTCAGTGAATTAATCAGTGAAGCTTTAAGACAAGGCAGCATTAACTACAGTTTTTTATTAAAATCGACTAAACATAATAATCACATAATTAATTAGAAATTATTTAATGGTTATTATTATTCTTTTGTGTGATGTTAATTTTCGCAAAATGCCATTAGCCAACAAAAATATGAAGTACAGGGAATTTGAATTCAAAAATTTATTATTTCACTCTGAATTTAATAAACATATAACCCGAATATAAGGAAACAGACAGAGTTGATTTTTATTGATTTCAATATAAACTTCGAGAACCGCTGAAACGTTGAAACAAATGCAGATTTGTTTATTTATTTAAGCTGAAGCTTATCGTCTCTTAGATCACTAACTCAATTTAGCAACAATATCAACAACAACTACTAATTGCATGATCCCAAATACTCTTTTACCAAAGCAATGACACATATATTATCTGTAATATATCTTACACATAAACTTATTGTATTCAATTGTGTGCCTTAAAGAATCCTAAATAGATGACGAAGCAATGTTATTTAGAATTTTGATATAACATATTTGTGAGTAAAAAAGATTGAAGTAAACATTGTTTACAAAGAGAACTAATTTCAACAGTAGATCTATGAAAATTCGTTGTGTTTAAGGGTGTCTTCATCAGAAATGCATCAGCATTATTAAAGTATTCTTTCCAAGGTATTCCAAAAAGTGCGCGAAATTTCCGTCTTCTCCCTAAAGATACCAGGCCAACAGGAAAGACGAAGAGGTTGCAATAATAGTAATCAGAAATAATCAGAAGAACCATGAAAAAGTGAGTGTGAGTTTCAATTCGTTAAATGTGAATGTAAACAAACTTTGATTTCTTTATGCAATTTAAAATACGATGAAACGAAACGAGGCTTTGTCATATAACAAATAGCGCGAAGATCAATCGATCTTCAACTGCCACCAAATTCTCGACGAATAGTGAATGAACTGGAGCAATGTATTTCTCTTAAAATGAACGAAAGATATATTCAAAAAACTGAAATGTCTGATTTATACGAAATAGGATTCATATTTAAGTTCATCAAAGATTTCAGGAAGTAAAATACTATTAAACAGGTAACCCACTATAAAAATTTAGTGTCAATAGCTGAACTATTGTGGGATATTTGTAAGAGAACTGAGGACATGGTGTGGGATAAATCAGACATACAAATAGGAGGAGATGAAAATAAATAATAGGAAGTAAGCATTAAGTATTAGTTTGGAACAAACACATCCCGCGTTCTTATACTCAAGTCAATAAATATAAAGTACGTCGTATTTCTCCTGTGTGATTATCTGTTCATCAAATATGGTTACCCATGAATAAAAACGACGGTTCAATGTGGTTTTACACGTCTAAATTTGTCCCTTATACTGCAAAATAATAAACCAATAGGCCTAAATAGATCCTTTTAAATTGCCGGTACATCCCAATCTTATAAGTGAGTTCATTGAACCAGCAGAGTCAAGATAACTTTTATTTACTAAATAAGTGGGAAAAGAAATAAAATAAGACATACTCATTTTTTATTGAATTTAGTATAAAATATGTGAACCATTGACATCGAATTTAATTCTCCAAATTGTTTATTTACATTAACCCCAGTTTATCGTGTTGTGTCTCTTGAAAAAGATAATTTTATATTCATTATCAAAGTCTGCGTCTGTCCGAGTTGATTTGAAAAGTTTACTCTACTCATATTCTGATCCCTTGATCATTCTGTTCAATTCGTGTTCCCCCAATCCTCGTGCCCTGTACTCGTGCATACTCATACGTTAACACTTTCGCGAGAATTTTGTTAGAAGAATTTAGTAGCGGTAGTAGTAGAAGTACTAAAAGTAGTAATCGTGGTAGTGGTGTCTATCCGTACAACACTTTAGTTTATTCTATCGATGTATATACTTACATTACGTCACAATTTCATCATATTTGTTACCAGGCCATAAGAAAAGAAGAATAGGATACAACTAAAAAATAATCAGAAGTGTCATAAAGAGAGAATAATGTTTCCATGAAAATGTGAAGATCTGTGTGAAGAGCATTTGATGAGAGTTGTTTAGAATAACTGTTCCAAAAATCATTGACACAAACTGAATAGCACGATTAAGGAATTCACATATATGCACACATTATTACAATGATAATAATATATAAGTCTTGCTTGGAAATCCAGATTTCGTTGTAGTAATAGTAGGCTCTCAGTAAGCAGGGTACCAGAGAAATAGAGTAAGGACGTAGAAATAAAAGTAAATGTAGAATGTGTTTTGTGTAAACAAAAGTCTTTATTAAGCATTCTGAATGCGTATGTCTGAGCTTAGGTGATATAAGAAACATAGAAAAAATCGAAACTTAAACTCCATTTAGGAATATTTATAAAACATTTTTAAATATGAATGACGAAATCTGATGTGGATAAATTATTTGCAGATATACTGAAATCTGAAATGATCAGTGAAGTTTTGCGCGATATAACAAATATAAGCAAATTAATAAAAAATTTGTGGACAAATTATCATATTCACGGAGAGGTGACGTTATTCTCATAGTTAATGAAAAATTTCAGTTAGTTCCCTATTCCATATTAATTCCATGTTAATGCAATAGAAACAGTATTTAATGCAGAGAGAAGGTTTCAAGTGTTGAAATGCGTGGAAAGGATTCCATTAATTGGACGTCCATATGCATGGCACGAGATGAAGTAATATTTAAGCTATATCAGGTTGCATTAAAATTTTCGTAATTATATAGGACATGTGACATACGATTGTAGTCGGATGCAGTCTGTTGTACCGAGTTTTGCAAAAGTAAAATCAGTCCGACAAAACCATTAGTGATAATAAATTATTTGAATTTTATATATTCTCGGTGTTGATGGGAGACAGTTAAGCAGTGTTGAAATATGCTTCCTTAAATATATTAAAATCTAAATCCAAATAAGCTCAATTACAACTTCTTGGAATTGGTCTATTATATATATTACAGTTAACATTGTAAAAAGTAGTGCTATTTTGTAGTTTTTGATGTGTTTATAGCAGTACTTATTCCATAAATTTCATGTCGAATATTCAACCGATCCATTGGGTCGACTGGTCCATTGTGTGCTTTATCCTTAATTCAAAATCTTTATTAATGCCTATGATTATGTTTAAGAGCATACGATACTGTTTATTAAGCTCCTCCAGAAAGAGAAGGTCTACTATATTTGAATTACATTACGTGAACGGTGGATAGTGTCAGAACATATATGAAGAATATATATATGAAGAATTCGTCTTTTTTACAACTGCTGCAGAATCAAGTTTTCTTATAATGTACTTAGTTTTTTATTTAGACAAAATTTTTTACACTTTTTCTTATCAACTCTCTGATAAAATGAAAGTTATAAAATCTACTGATAATATATCTGTTTATAATTATTTATGATGATTAATACACTACTGACTAACGGAACTATATATGTATTCATAAACGAGTTCAATTTTATTCAGATCAACTATTTTTGAATATCTCCTCTATAACTCAATAATCTTTGCATAACAAGTCAATTTCCAATTGAGTAGTACGTTGTTACTTATAAATAATAGATAAATAATTCACTAGAATACATATGACAAATATATAAATTTTATTCAAAGTGATCGTAAGAGGTAGAATATTAAATTTCATTTTGGTTGTCAATGTAGTTTGCTTTGCGATTGCTTTGCTTCTTTCAATGTTCACTGCTTTTCTGTTTCCCTAGTATTTGTGGGAAACAGTGGATGTAAAGGTTTCAGTAATGAAATATATGTACTTCCATTTCTTCACCACTGTGTCAATATCTCATCAATTCTTTACAACTAAGTCTATGTTAACTGTTACCATGTTTGTGTAAAGTGGCCTAACCCTTCGGAGTCATGCAAGTCAGTCAGGGAGTTATGTTAGAGCGAATTCACATAGTTACCAAGCGATCAGAATTGAATGTAAGGAAATATCTATAATATTTTCACAGAATTGATCAGAAAAGCATTAAGACAAGGCAGCATTAAATGCTGTTTTGTATTTAAATCGATTGAACATAATAAACACATACATAATTAGAAATTATATTTAATCGTCATTTTCCTTATTTTGCGTGAATGTTAATTTTCGCAAAATACCATTAGTCAAAAAAGTCAAGTGCAGCGAATTTCAATTCAAAAACTTTTTTTTACTCTGAATTTAATTCACAAGAAGTTGTATTTAATGGACATGTAACCCGAAAATAAAAAACAGACTGACTTGTTTTTCATTGATAAAATCATATATATAAAAATCGAGAACCACTGAAAGCAAGAACAGGCAGATTTTCTTATTTAACATATTTAAGCTAAAGATTGTCGTCTTTTAGATTACCAATTCAATTTAACAACAATAATA